TAGTCGTAGACATTCGCTGTTGATAATGGTAGAAAATTAAGTAAGCACTTACAGACTAATGCTGCTTTGAAGAACATTCTATTAGATTCAAGGCATCTTTATTTAATGTAACATATAACAAAACAAAACGTGAAATAATGAAAGTAACTTGATTAAAGCACAGAAACTTCAGAGAACAAAGAAAAATAGAACAAAAATACTTCCATAAAAATATTATGCGTAGAGAAACAAAGAAACAGAGCATTTAGAATACATATAGATATACATGAAACTTTAATATGATCAAAAATTACTACAATTCATCATACCATTTTCTTTACTTTGTCGTCATAATACTCGATTGTTTTTAAACAAGTTCGTTTCTAAACAAATTTTAAAATCATGATTTACAATAAAATTAGTATAGTTTCCTCTTTGTTTTTTTTCCACGATAGCATCATGCCGCATTCTTGAGCATATAGCATACCCCTGAAATAACTAAAAGAAAGACTGGAAATATTAAACGAATTTTTGTTTTTAGAAATTATAGCACGTTGGTCTGTGTGTTTATCTATTCGGTAGATCAAATAATAACAGCACATGCAATTGTCTATCTCATACTCACCTGCTATATAAAAAAATATTAAACGTGCTGGTATTCATCTTTTATAGCCAAATATCTTTTTGTTTTATTATCTGTATCTTAATAAAATAAAATAAAATAAAATACTATATAAATCAAATATATATTTCTTTGTCTATCTATTGTGCGAATAAACGTACCAAGTTCCATTGTTACTCAAATCCGCTACTCGGTGAGTGATTCTTATTTAATATTGATATTTTGTTTATAACTATTAGACATTTTCAGAAAAAACTTCCAAAATGAATTACTACTTTCTTCTCCTTCTTTCACTCAACTATCAACTTGCCACCAACTTCTGTTATTCTCTACCAACTCCTCCTAAACCAAATGAACATCTTCATAATACAAATCACACATTTGAAGATAACAAATCATGCGCAGAATCTGTTACCTACACTCAAGTATTAAAACTGATAAGAGAAGCTTCATGTAGCCAACATCACGAAAACATCACAATCATTCCGAAAACCAAATATCAAAAGCGAGAACTAACTGCGAACAATGATATAAAAGCTCTTCAAACAACAATCAACGATCATCAAGTGATGATCGAATACCTGTTCAACAATTCTATAAATGAAACTACACTTACTAAAACCTTTCAGGACCACTCCCGACGTCCACCAACCTTCTCTAGCTGGCGAGATATAATCGATATAATTTGCATTATTATAATTATTGGCGTATTGATACACTTTCTCATATGCATTCACGGAAATCCCTTGTGTGACAGAATTATAAGTTGTTTATTCAGACCGATTCTTCGTCGCACACAAACACAAAACAAACCAATACATCAACGTACATCACCACTCTCGAATCACAGTGCATCTAAAAGAGCACCACCAATCACCACAGTATCAGAACACTTACGCAGTCTTTCCAAAATAGCAGATTATCATATTCCACCATCAACAGCCAATTAAATACCATCAAACCACATCTTCCCAGCAAATATCATTCACACAAAACTTCTACACAACTAAAGAACTTTTCTATATTTCGCATGCAATACATGCATCTAGAATATAAAACATATGATAATTGAATTTTGAATAAAAATCTTGAATTCTCGGTGGTATAATAGAAAATGAGCTGCAAACTAGCAAAACAACAGAAACAACAACATCTACCTCTTGAAAATGACCACATAGTTGAAAGTCGAAACGTCGAAAACGCAAAAAACAAGAAATCAACAATTTGTTTTGAAGTCATCAACGAAAACAAAAAACTGTCTATTCGTTATCTCAGTCTACCACTTACAAGAAATATTGAATTAATAAAATAGAAAGACAATGTTATCGATTAAGCGACGCGCACTACCTCTTGTACCTGCCTATTCTATCACCACTCATAAAAGCCGGATTGTATATCATTAGTCGACAGCATAGTTTGTCGACGGACACTTAGTCGACAGCATAGTTTGTCGACGGACACTTAGTCGACAGCATAGTTTGTCGACGGACACTTAGTCGACAAATGTTAGTCGACAGATTTTTCGTCGACATCGCTTAACATCGAAAGACATTTTTGTCGACAATCAGTTTGCCGACGATCTTTTTGTCGACACTGGATCGATCCCAAGCGATATTGGCTTATCAACATGTTAACAAAAATAAAACGAACTCATGATCCAATTTGATTAAGATGAATAATTAATCAATAGTTTGTCTATAATCAAAGTGCATCAATAATAGAATAAAAGTAGCTATTCTTTTCTCGAAAAAAGGACACCGTTTCGATAATCGACTCAGTGATTATTCCGAATTGATATATAACTATCCGCTGAATAGTCAATGTAGCACTCAAACTATCCCTTCATTATGAATACTGATTCTGTCGTTCTCACATTCGGTTACTCAACGAAAAGCAAGCCTACAGTCTGCTTTGACGGATACGTCTACACGTTAAACAAGGATCGTGGCACAGTCAAATATTGGCGATGTGAAGATCGTTCCTGCTCCGCGTTTCTTCACACTGATGGGAATAACAAATACAAAGCACATACGGGCACACATGTGGGTCATCTACCTTCGCCGGAACGAGTCGAACTTATGGCGTTAAGTCGAAAAGTCAAGGAACGCGTGGTCAAAGAAACAACGCCAATCGCTCGCATCTACGAACAGGAGCTCGCCGCAGCACAGCTTAGTCGAACTGCTTTGGCTCTTGCCCCCTCAGCGAGAGAGAGGCGTGAGTACTATTCCGATAAATCTCAATCTCGTTCGCATTTCCGTTTCTATAGAATCGTCTTTATGTCGCTTTCGACGAACAACAACACCAGTTCTTCCTACGTCAAGTACCTTCGACATTCCAGAACCATACGCTCAAACTCTCGGTGGAAAAAACTTTCTTCTGCACGATATACTCATTCGTGGCCAAAGAGCACTAACGTTTGCCAATGATTTACAACTGACAATCTTGTTCAAATCCAGCCATATCTTTATCGACGGCACGTTTCAAGTGTGTCCTCCATTCTTCGATCAAGTCTTCACAATTCATGGTGTACATCATGAACACGGTAAGATCTTTTTCTTTTGATCGTATATGTGATCACGAGTCACTTCGTTTTAGTTGTGCCGTGCGTAATCGCCCTTTT